TCTTATATTTTCTCGCATGCTATTTTAATTTTACTCTTATCCAAATTACAGATATTTTAAAAAAACACAAACAATTCAAATACATAATGCAGTATTTTTTACTGCATTATTGTATGTTGTAAATTAGACAGTCAATATTGGTAAAAAGGTTTCTACATTAAACTTCTGGCTGTAGTTGCATTCAAAAGTTACCCTACCATATCATTGTCTTATACGCTTGCGAACACTTTCATACTCTTTTATATAGGATATTTCCTTTGCTTTTGACTCATAAAAATCAAGAGTCTCTTTTGGTTTTTATATACGCCATTAAAGATTTTAACAATTTCACTGCTTTTGACAAATCCATATTTTTAGTCTAGACCGATAAATTCACCCTGTCAATATGAGCCAAAATGTCATTCCAAAAGATAGTTTAAAAAGTAGTTTGCAATTCATTCATCTTCTTTTTCAAATTTTTTTTGCAGGATGTCGAGTATCCACTGCCCTGTGATTCATGATTAATTAAACAATCAAGGCTAAATTTCTGATTATCCTTCGCATAAAGCTTTGATTGCATCTGCACGTGCAGACCAACGTGTTTTTGATACACTGATTATAATAAACATCTTATCATAAATATTAATACATTTTTTATTTTTATTAGAATTAAAATTTAAAGTCAGTATTGCTCAATGATGGGTTGATGATGAGAAAAAATGGTGGAGATTTTGAACAAAATCAAAGTAAATTGTTACATTCTACTGCTTGAATGCCAATTAAGTTCAAAGAATGTTCTAAACATGGTACGTATACAGAGTATTTCTTTCTTTCTTGAAGTCAGGCTTGCAATTGCAAATATTTTCCAGACATATTTGAGGCATTATCATATAACTGACCTCTACAATCACTAAGTGAAATGTTATTTTCCAAAAATAAAACCACTACATCAGCCAGATACTCTGAAGTATGCCCATAAATATGAATAAACTGAAAAAAATCTCTCAACTGGTGTACCATTTTGGACATATAATAAATGTAGTTGGTTGGCATGAGTGACATCTGGGAAGTACCTAAATAGTTTCCACTTGTCCCTGAACCAATAGTGTCATTTCCCCCTCTGAAAGGCAGTCCTCTTCAAGCTAAAAACTTTAAAAACAGCTATTATTCTCTTTAACACTTTTTTCGAGTCATGATGTTCATCATTGATTGGTATAATATGTTGGCTGTCTGCTCAACTAAGATAACTGTAAAGGACTTAGTGCCTCATCATAAACTTTTTGCGGACAGGTGAATTTTCATGGTGTGAAGCAGCCATATTTGGTCATTGAATCCACTAGTGCTGAATGTAGATTTGGTAGATGAAAATTTACATACAAAACAGTATATGTTTCCTTGTGATGAATACATTAGCCATTCACAGTCTACAGCCTCACCATTAATTAACTCCTTCTTGAACAGAAAAGAAATCGCAGAAAGGTATCTTGTTTCAGTTTTACCATGTTGTTCATTGTACACTAATGTGCCATTACATTATAACCACCAACCTCCATCTATAACAATGGGCTCGCCTAGGAAAAAAAAACCACTATGCATGCACGGCTGATGTTGGAGTATATAAAGCGGTTATGCATTGTCTTTCCAAACACAGCACAATTAGTGACATAATGGGAAAAACAGCTGATTTAGAGGAAAGCAGAGATTGCTATGCATTGTTTACCAAAACCGAAGTACTACAACAGCCGAAATCACTACCAGCTACAACAGTGGCGACCCAGACAATGTTTATCAACATACTGTGCAGTGTACATTTCTGCACATGTGCCTACGCAATTAGAGGCCGCAGCATGCCCCTGTACTGATGGCACATCATCGACAGCTATGTCTGCAGTGGGCCAAGAAAAATTGAACTAATGGTTGACATTGCTAATTAAACATTAAAAGAATGAATGAAAGTTTCATGGTCCAATGAATCATGTTTTCTGGTGCATCACATCGACGGGTGTGTGCTAATACGCCAATTTCCAAACATAACCCTAGTTCTCAGATGCACAGTTGGATGGAGACAAGCCGGTATTATAGTGTGGGAAATGTTTTCATGGAGCACATTAGGGCCCATAATCCCCACAGATCAATCCCCGACATCTCTGCGCTACATGAAAATCGTTGCAGACCAGGTTCACCCATTCATGAAAAAAGTGTTTCCTGCGGGGAATGGTGTTTACAGACAGGATAATGCACCTTATTCATTAGGGTTGAATTGTAAGGGAGTGGTTCGAGGAACATTCCAGTGACTTTGTCTTAGCCTCCAAATTTACCCGACATTAATCCAATAGAGCATTTGTGGTCTCACCTGGAAAACCAAATTCGTGCGGCCAGGTTTCCCCCTTACAATGTGTGGGAATTGCAGGACCAGTTGGTGAGTGCTTGGTACCCGATACCTCATATTACATATCAGCACCTTGTAGACTCAATGCCACGACAGGTGCTGACAGTTTTGAGGTCCTACATGTTATTAACAGGGTGGTCATAATGTAATAGCTCTTTGGTGTATATACATGTTGATTTTTCAAAATCATTATCTTTAATTAAGCTACAATAAGTAAGCTAAATTAATATCATTATCTTTGTTGTAACAAACTGACGGCTCTTTCTCAACCTAGTATGGCTGTAAAGTCTTGTCAATATATGGCCACAACCTTGGATCTGTACTTTCAGGAAAAATATTTGAGACGTCAATAATCTCACCAGTTATAGTGTTTGTTTCAGTAAGTCTTTGTGTTTCTTCTTGAACACTTAAATAGTCGGATTCTCGCTGTGCCTATCCTTCAACGTCAAGTGTATTTTTGGATATACCAGCAGAAGTGGTATAAGTAGATATAGATACAGAATTTAAAAAAAGGGGGAGTTAGCTTCTGTAATTTATCAAGAGATTTCTTTCCCCCCATCAAATTTTGTATGTTTTGCAGCTCCACTTTCAAAACGTTTCATTCTGACTTGTCCTGAATCTGGAATAATTAATATAAATGTTGAAAGTAATTGTGATGGTACTTTATTTAAAATAGGTACTTTGTTCTTATCTGAACATTTTAAGTAGACATTATTACAGGCTGTCAAATACATACAAAAACGCTAAACTGTAATAAATGTGAAACCGACTCAACTGACTGCTGCTTTTCAAAACTAAATGAGTAATGATGGTAGAGCTAAGCCTAGACACATACAACGGACATGACATAATAATGCAGTCTCGCCACTGTTGACAATAGTTGGAAATTCCTAGTTTTTTTGGAGAAAATCGCCAAGAATAACATTTCTTCTTCTTCATAAGCTCCACACTCTGTTACAGGCCAAGGCTGTCTATCCAAGTTTCTTCTACCCGACCCCATTAGCGCAATAGCCATCCATCGGTTAACTCCATTTAACCTTAAATCCTCCTCGACATTATCTATCCATCTAGTGGGTGGTCTTCCCCTTCATTTTACTCCCTCAATTCTCGAAAAAGTTATTTTTTTTAGCTGGAAATGCATCATCATATATAAACACATGTCCCAGCCATCTGATACTAGATGCCTTTATGATTCTCACAATGAGAATAACATTTGGCAATTAAAATTATTCATATCTCGATCTTACTGAAGTCGAGGCGTTGGGCCCAGTTGACCCATGCCTTAAAACGTCCCTGGATAAATAATTTTTTTTTTTTTTTTAAATATGTAAGTACATGTTTGGAACTGATACAACAGTGATAAAAATGAAAGTAACAAATTAATGCAAGATAAAATTTTCTCTTTTTGAATTCCTGATTTTAAATCACTAGAATATCACTACTATGCATATATTTTAAAAAAGGCTCTTGAACAACTTTTTCCTCACCAAAAGAATATATTTTGGAATTTTCAAACAATTATTTGATATATTAAAACATAAATAAAAACAGTTAAATAGAAAAAAGAGCTTCAATTTACATTTCTTTTACTAATAACCCAAACACTACATAATTTTACGATTTTTGCATAATTTTTTTTTATATTTTATGTAAAATGAATGCCATTTCACCAGTTACTGATTACAAAGAAAAAGAATAATTACTGATCTAAGGTAAACAGTATGAAACAATAAATTAAACAAAAGTATAAGACTGAATGGCCATAACTCTAATGCTTTTACAGAACCATGAAATGTAAAGATAATTTAATTTTTGAATATTGACTGCTAATGTAAAAAAGTGATATTTTTGTGTGAAGTTACAGCAGTGGTGGCATTCAAGTAATTAAAGAACTTCAAATAATTAGCCACCAAATAAAAGCCAATAAATCGGCTGGTTAAATACTGCAATTTAAATTTAATAATTAGTTTGGCAAATAAAAAAATAATTTTGTACCAAACTAACTAAATCCCACCAATGAAGACTTTATTTTTTGTAATTTATGATATAGAGGATAAACTGAGAATTTCAAGCAAAAAGAAATTAAAATATATATTCATGCAAACAAATAACACACCTCCGATTACTCTTTGGTGACTCTAATCCACCACCAGTACTACCATTAGATGAATTTTTTTCCCATTTCTTATCCGAGTTATCTGAATCCTGAAAAGGAGGGTAAAATTAAGCAATTTTTACATAAAATAAAGAGAGTACTCAATCTTATTTTACAGTCTCCAAACTTACCATGTTTTGAAAGCTTTCTGCTTGAGCTCGCCTGCAAAATATATTTGAAATGAGTAAGAACAAAAATTACCATAGACTATTATTTTTTCGGCAAAATTTATCTGTTATACAATCAACTATTTGCTATTAATAATCATAATTCATATAATGTGATTCAATATACTGCAACAGATATTGAAAAATTTACAGCTTTATACACAGATTTTAGAGTGTAGATCTAAATTAATATTAAAAAAAATATTTAAAAAAAGTGCAAGCATTACAAAATAGCATTTAAAACTTAATCAACTAAAAAACATATGTAGTCTTAAAGAATAATAACACAGCAAGAAAAACAAAAATATATACACAATATATATACACTGCAGCAAAAATAAATCCATGCATAGTGGAAATCCAAAAGACTATAATAATACTTAACATACAAAACCCCCAACTCAGCTATTCATACTGTTAAAAATTCATAACCATTTAATGTGCAAAGCACATGTATGGCATACTAGAATATCACACAAAATAGATATAATAGCATTCGCTTTCCACGAAAATTTTGATTGATTTACATGAGACCCAACTGATGAGTTTACATGGATATGAGCGAGCTCAAAAGATGATGCATCACAGCTTTTAAAGAGGGACAAAAAGTTACAGTAATATTGTCAGTAATAGATCCAACATATTGCCCCATCAAAGTGCAGCCACAATCTATAAAGGAAGACTGGCCACATGGACCAAGACATCAGAAGCTCAGCCACAACCACACATCTCTGCCTTCAACATTTATATACCCTTTAAGTTGTGCACTGTGTTACTGACACTTACAATAATGGGGCTTTTCAGTAAATATATGCTAATGTCCCAGTGGATTGATTGCCCTGCTTTTGCCAAAAAGAAAGAAAATAAAGCCCCAACCACACTGACAGCCATACTTTTCATCATTCAGCAGAAATTACTAACACCTCTGAGGTGTTTTATGCACAGAACCATTGGATGATGAATGGCAGAAGGTAGATTGCACTGTTGGTGCCCTTATAATGTCTACTTTTAACACCAGCTCAATGACGATAATGCACTATCATGCTTCTGCTAAGTGGAATACAATGGATTGGAGTTTTATCATTCTCAGTGATAATAAAGATCCCATTCAGTGATTAATGAACATTACACTGATGACATTCTACAGCTTATTTTTAGTACCTATGCTGTCAGACCTGCTGAGCCCTTTTTCCAACATAATGCCTATCCATAAGCAGATCAATCATTACTGACACTTTTTGCAAAAGACAAATGTCCCATGGATGTCCTCATTGCTTGAAGCTCTCACCCACTGAACACATTTGTGACACGATCAACTTCAGCTACAGGTACTACAAACAATGTCTGACATGGTTTTGAGATTATCATGCTATCCTGATGGATGCCCCTCAGGCCATAAAAAGCATTTGTATGCATCTACGCCAGATCACATTTCTGCATACATTGATATCCGAGAGGGCCCTAAACAACCATATTAATATGTAATGGTTAAGGAACAAGCCACGTTAACATGTAAAGGTTCTGGACAGTTCTTGCTGCAATAAATAATGTTACAGAAACTTAAATTGTTTTATGTTTTCCTCATTATTTCCTCCACGTCCTTGTTTCACCAAGATCCGCTGTTTTCCTCGATACATGGACTTGTTTTTTTTTCTTTTTTGCTACAGAGTGTATTTTGCATTCAACAAACCATCTTACCTTCTAGCAAGGGTTTTTGCCATCTCATCCATCATGCTTGCCATACTGTTAGATGTAGGACCAGGAGTTTTATTTGATTCATTATTTACTTCTGTCTAAAATATTAAAGATAAAAATAAGGTAAAAGCACTTTTCATTTTAAAAGTATTTTTTTAAATATATTTAAAAACATACATGAAGTGCATACACAAATTTTTTCCCCAAACATTTAAAATTTCTGTTAATTATGCAATGCTGCAACTTCATTTAACGAACAAAGTGGAACCTATCAAACTTCCTCTTGATAACTTGACATTCCACTACCTGAAAGAAAAGAAATTTGGAGCCGAGTGCCCAGTTTCTTATATTCTAATTTTTACTATTTGATGCTTGGTTCAAAGACAATTTAATCCTTGGGAAGGGTGCTACTTTATCACTGAAAAACTCGTTTCACGGTTCTAACCATCCCCGATTAGATTCTTGAAAGTGATCTCGCATCAATAAGTAATCACTTTCTTTAATATTTAGGATAGGTAAAATTATTTTTCCAGTCTATTTTAAGTCCTTATCAAGTATCAACACACAATGCCAAGCATCTGTTTTCATTCATAAAAACAGAAGGAATCAATAATATTGTGACAGAGTATATGCATTAAGAAGTTCTGTGAAATTGAAGGTATAAATAAATTGAAATAGATTTAAATATTAAGTAAACAACAATTAAGTAAATATCAAATACTAAATGTTGATGGAAGAGATGAAACTGCAAACTTGAAAGGGGGGTGAACAAGGATTAAAAAAATAAATATTATAAGTTTTTCTTTTTTTAATTTGGAAGGTTTCAGATTTTAACGATCGCCCTAAAGGATTTGTTATGGTTTTTCACTCTCTCGCTGAGCTCATAGTCTAAAATTCAATTCAACAGCAACACAAAATATTTAAAAATAGCATATCTTTAGAATTTCCGATACACAGTCTCGTGCACTGGAAATAAAAATATTATATTCTGCACAATGTTGACACCACCTGCTTTCAAATCATTGAGTTTGTTAATCAAAAATTCATTACAGATTTACAAAACATAATATTCAAAATTCGAGCTTCCGGATTCCCATGTTTGAGTGGAGGACTATGTTATTCAGAATTTGATGGCTCTAGGTACCATCATTTTTTTTTCACTTCTAGGAACACACACACATGCAGAGTGTTCAAAATTTAATTTCTTTAAAATAATACAATGCAAAATCTCATTTCGTGACTGATAACCCATTAGCACTAAGGCGCTTTTGGGCTTATTTATTTATTTTTAAAAGGCAGTCAATAACGAAAGCACCACTTTTAACAGATTTAATTTTGCAAGAAGAAAGCCTCAGATCTTTTGAGAATTTCAAAAATTAAAACATATTAAATTTATTGCAAATACTGGCTGAATCAAGAGATGAAAAAAGCAGTTTAGATGGATAATAATTCGGTACAATATTTATACAAGTTCAGAAAGCAAGTCCAAGGGAATACTGGGAAAAATAGAAAATTTTAGTTTCGTGGACTTAATAAATCGAATTTCAGGCTGCAGGGAACTACTAACTGTGATGACGATGAGTACATTAGGAAAAATAAAAATGATCACCTTATAAGAAAAGAGTGAAATAATTGCACTGGTGCAAGAAAAGTTTAAAGAAGTGATAAACTATGGAAAAAATGATGCACAAAGACGAACTAAAGGCAATTAAGGAAACCTTGCATTAATTTTGAAGGAAATTTGTGTGTTTCTACAATGGATATTTTATTCCTGTGTTGCTTACAGGATGAAGAAATGCAATGAAAAAATTAACGTGTGAACAATCAAGTATCATTAGAATTTTTTCCAAAAGGGTCTAGTCAGTTTTGCTTAGAGTTTATTTATTTTTTACACGTTTCCATTTTACATTTATCCAACATACCAGGGGGGCACCGACAACAAGAACTGAAATTTATGAGTATAGTTTTCTTTTCCTTTTTTCTCCTCCTGACCATCCTGTATATATGCATGTCTACAGTGTGAATGTGTCTGTCACTCAGTGCAGTGCAGTTTATTATTGTATGTGAATCAGTTTATTGTTCGTTATTGCTAATGTGTATGTGTCCCTGTGAGGTTTGTCTAGTTTCACAACATTATAGTGGTGTTTAAAAGTTGAAATTTACGTATGTACAGAAGAAAGTTAATATTGATGGAACAAAAATTTCAGGCAACGAAGAGACTGGGCAAAGCATAAGATAGCTGATAAATTTGACATTGGGCAAGTAACAATAGGAGACTAGGAAAAAAAATGGATAGAAATAAGAAAATGGTGTGCCTCAAGAGTTATGAAATGTGCATTAAAATATAGAAAGAAATATGACTATGAAAAAAGTGGGTGAAGCTTTGATTGCTTAGTTTACACAGTTCAGGGAGAAAGGTATGCCTAATTTACAACAAACAGCATATTTCAATGAAGAGGCCCAAGATTTCACAGCAAGAGTTAGTTGGCTCAATGAAAGAAATGTTATGGTACCACCCATCAGTTAGGTGTTTTTGGTGAAAAACTACCATCAAATTTTGAAAAAATGAAAGCATTCACGAAAACATTTCAGGAATTAATTGAACATGAAAGCCTAACAGACACAATCAGATATTTAACTGAGTCAAGCCTTAATTTACAAACTGGCACATAGTAACAGTCTTGCAGTTAGAACTACAGTGGCAGCCCATGGCTTTAATAGTAGTGAAAAAAGGCTGACCATTTTAGCAAGCAGTAATGCTAGAGCAAACCTCAGTGTGGATTTTGTAATGACTGGAAAGTACCAAAATCTTACTGCCTTTAAAAGTTTCAAAAAATGCTCTTCCTATAAAATATTGTAGTCAGAAAAGCACATAGATGAACAATGAAATTTTCAAAGGTTGGTCACAATTCTTCCTTCAATACAGACGCTTTTTTAAGAAATAATTTACCCAGAAAAAGGTGTTTTGTTACTAGATAATGCTCCAACATACTCCGGGCACAGAAGATTCAAGATAATGATATTAAGTCAATGTTTCTCATGAAGGCTGATGATCAGTATGAAATAACTGATGAAGAAACTGTCACTCATGTCAACTGTGGTGAAAACAAAACTAAGATCAAGATCACACACCAACAATTCAGCCTCGCAGAATTTCACATAATGATGGAATTAAGGCTCTAGAAACTACAAATAAATATATTGAGCAACAAGATGCTACAGGAATTGACATAATGATGCTGCAAAGGCTCTAGAAACTACAAATAAATATATTGAGCAACAAGATGCTACAGGAATCGACATAATGATGCTGCAAAGATGGCAAAACTTAAGATTGAAGAAATCGCATTATTAAGAAAGTATGCTCTGATCAGAAATAATTTCTTTCAATTACCACAGAACTGAACTTTTGAACTACTATACATACTGTATTTAATTTCAGATAATTCTGACACTGTAAGTTCCTTTTTTTCAGTTAATTTTTTCTGTTTTATTGTATAACATGCTTACTGAGCTTGTTATGTGTAAAATTATAACATAATTTGATATTTAATAGGCTTTTCTCAAACACATTTCTTTTAGCCGACATTTTTGCTTATCCAACATTCTGCCTACTCATTTATGTTCAGTGAGAATCACTGTATTTCTTTCCTAGCACATTAATTATTATTATTATTATTTTTTTTTTAGATTGTGACAAAGCATGCGAGGGCTATCTGCTTAAAGGGAGAAATGCCTTTGTGAAGAACTTTCTTAGCAAAACTGGTTCAGATCTACACTGCACATGGGACTGGGACAAACTATGAAAACACTCATGCAGGCAGCCTGTGCACCTGGAATTAAATGTAAGTTGAACTACCAGTGTTCAGTGACTGTACTATTTGGCTATTGAGGGCTTTCTTTTTATTATTATACAGTTTTTTTTTTAAACTTCTGCATTTAACAAGTGAATATGTAGCCGCAGCTGCATATGCAGGTCACTCTGAAATTTTTAAAACACTCACAGATGCTAAAAAGTCACAAAAAAATTTAATGGTTAGATTTGAAAATATGAGCTATTTTAGCATAGCAAATGATTTTTGATTGGCCAACTGCAAGCAGTTTAGCATAGAATTTTAGGCAGAAGGAAAAATGAGTTGATGGAAGAACATAAACATGCTATGATTTTCAATGATTTTAAAAGAACATGTTCGATGCCTACAATTTGTATTTGGAAATGAAGGTCCATCTCATGCTACTGTATTCATATGGTTTACACAATTTCACCAAGGTCACAACTCTCTTCAAGATGAAGAACACACAGGAAGACCACTGTCAGCAATAATCGCAAATAATGTGTTTGCCATATGGAAAATGTTAGATGATAATCGCTGCACCTACCAAAGGAGGAAATTAATATCGGATCCGCTTCCATACATAAAATTATTCGTGAAGAATTGCATATGATAAAACTAGTTTGCCATTGGGTTCTCCATAATTTAACTGAGCACCAAAAAGAGGAGCATGTCAGAATCAGTAAAGAAACCCTTAAATCACTTAAAGATGGTGGCCACTGCATTATTTCTAAAATCGTAATAGGTTATGATGTTCCAATATTTCGAGAAAGTAAAGTATGCATTTTTGAAGATGATCCCATGCCCACAATGGCGAAAAGACAACGTGCCATGAAAAAGTAATGTATGCAATTTTCTTCAGAAGTACAGGATTGTTCAAAGCCATTAGGTTGTAATGACAGAAGACAGTCACAGCTAACTGTCTTCAGGAATTCTTCAAGAAATGAATGTTAGAGGACTCATGCTCTACCATGAAAATGCATCTTCTCATTCAGCAAGATTGATAGTCGAGTTTCTTAAACATCCACCCTATTTACCTGACCTAGGCTTGTGTGACTTGTGGCTATTTTTTAATCTAAAAAAAGAACTACATGGACGCTGTTTTTATTCCGTAGATGAGATTGATGAGACTTTAAATGCATTGTTTTCATCGATTCCAAGAAAAGAATGGCTTGAAGCATTTAATCTTTGGAAAATTCACCTACAGAAGTGCATTGATGCTGAAAGCAACTACTTTGAATATTCTTAAAATTCCAAAAGTATAACTTTAAAAACCTACGTGTATCTCAAACATTTCAGAGAGACCCTTGCATAATTTTAACAAATGAGTTTGCAGTACAGTATTCTGAGGCATCCACCTTAAATTCCATTAAACTGCCTTAATTTTTGACAATGCATCATTTATTGAATTCAAATTAGGCAGAGTTTGCAGAGCTCTATTTCACAAATATTCATTATGCATTTGCTATAAAACACATCCAAGCAAGTTTCCAACAGTTTTATCTACTTAAAGGTTCAATGAATTAAATCAATTCTATCAATTAAATCTTATCATGACTAGATGATTTTAGTCTTCTGTGGAGATTCCTTAGAGCAGTGGTCTCAAACTTTCTGCACATGAGCTGCATGCAGCTCGCGATTACGTTTCAGTATGTATTTATTGCAAATATGGTGCTTATAATTTTAGATACGTTAAGATATAGATTGAGCTTATTTGTGTGACTGCTATTAAAGGAAAAAAGACATAATGAATAGGGTGGGGTAGACATCGTGAATAGGGTCTTTGCCATTGTATGTTTGAATATAAGGTTACATGATTAAAATAAGGTGGAAGAATTTTCCATTTTAACACAGCCAGTAAATTCAATTTGCTAGCACTTCAGTGTTCTGCTGCTTCCAGTTTTCCACTTTAGTTTATAAGCAAGTTATTTAGTAGTTAATTCAACACACTGTAACTATCTGAAATAAATGTCAGTCTGAAATTTAATATTTAGCTGTCAATAAGCTTGAATAACAAAGTACTGCTAAAAGAAAAAGAAATTTGTAAGGAACAACCTTTAGACTTCAGTTAGAAAATAAAGTTAGAAAATAAATATAAATTTGGATTTTTTTCATTTATGCTATTATTATTGTTTACGTACGTTAGTACTTAAAAATTAAAAATTTGGCCTCTCTTTTATTTATTTATTTATTGCTATTGTTAAAAATATCCTACAATTTTGTTAAAAATTTGTTCTGGCCCATCAGATGCTTTCAAATCATGCATCCAAGCCACATGCAATTTGATTTTGAGATCACCGGCTTACAGAACACAACTATTGGTATTTATTCTCCAAGTCAACTACCATATAATACATTTATTTAATTATGTTCTTAGACACTGCATTCTTTCAGAAATGTTTATCTAGAAAGGTAATTGTTGAGAGAAGTTTCACTGTGTTGCATATTGCAGTTAAAGTTATTTAAAACACAGTATTGACTGACATATGGTTTTAAAGCTATAGAAGTCATAATTAATATTTTATTTACCAGAACCATAAATTCAAAGAAGGTATTTATGGTACCAGTGAAATATTTAAAATTTGATCTGGCTTACTCAGAATTACTTTTGAAAATCATATTATCAGACATACAGTACTTATAATAGAAATGTAGGGGGAAAAAAAGGTAATAATTTTAAAAAAAGAGAGGTGGAAGGTAAAATACCTATGATTAGAAAATAAAATGCTTTAAGGAAATCAAATTTACAAAAATCCATAATTTTTTTTTGGACTCAGTTAACTGACAGACCAATAATGATAAACACTAAAAGAAATGTGGATACCTACTTAAATTACTACTTACATTATCAACATAGATATTTAAGGTTAAAAGTAATGACACAAACTTGACAACCTAATTAAAAATTTCTATGCATTCAAAAACTTATTACTCCTTTTTTCTGACCTAATTTTTCATCTATCAAGCAATTATAATTAAAAACTTTATGAGATTTTCAGTTGAACATAATGATGTTGATAAACATGACTTTAATTTACACACACTTTTTTGAAGTTAATATCAATAAAAAATAGTTTAATAATTCAAATATATCCAATTGATTGAAAAACATGTAATCTTACCTTCTGAGTCTTTTTTAATTTTGCATTAGCTAGAGCTGATGCTAAAGACATGTTAGCAGTGTTAGGACGCTGTGTTGTAGATCCTGGTGGTGGAGGAGGACAGGGAGGTCCAGAGAAACCTGCTGAGATAGGAGGTGCAGGTGGTGGAGGAGGTCCAGAATTAGACATTGGTGGTGCATAAGAAGGCGATGCATAAGGAGGTGGTGGTGGTGGAGGAGGAGGTGGAGGTGGTGGAGCAGCATTGGATTGAGCAGGAGATGCTGATGGCTGAGGTGGAGCAGGAGGTACTGATGGCTGAGATGGAGCTGCTGATCTGTGTAATGTATTGCTAGGTGATCCAGAATTCATCTGCGGACTATTAACTGAAACAAAATAGAAATGACAGTTATATTAATAATTTAATTATCAGTGTTAATATTACTTCAGTACCATACTGTGAAATATTTTAAGTATATTTTTAAAGATTTAAAAAATAGGCATAAATAATCAAAATAATACTGTGTCAAGAATTAATGAAGCCAAAAATATTCCTGGTTCTAAATACAAGATTTTAGAACAGATATTTTCAGCTTTATCTAGGCACAGAACGTTTTAAACGGCTCCCCCTAAACAACCACCTTTAAACTGAACTAGTTTTATAAAATTAAATTAGGAAATTTTTTTTTTTACCTGATTCTGCTCATTTGAAGGAAATACATCACAACGTTATAATAATATATTATACATAAACTTATAACACATACAAAATACAATATCCACTAGCTGCTGGCCCACCAGTAGCCAAGCAGTAAAATCACTAAACACTGGTAGTTCGATCCGAGGTTCGAATCCTACATATGGGCAGATTGCATGGGCATTTTTGTGGTTTTCCTCATGTGTAACATGTATATGAGCCAGTTTTCCTTAGAAAGTCCACATGAAGGCACCCCCCCTTAAGCAAAGAGACCTCGAAGCTTTGCCGTAATCCCATAAACCAAACCTAACCAATCCAATGGCTGGCGATACAATAGGGTCTTTTGAAGAACAAAACTTTTTTCATTGTCTATGAGTGTGTTCATTACAATTCTTATGTAGGTAGACAGCTTTAGACACTAGTCACTCTTATTTAGAGACAATAGTAATAAAAGGAGGAGAAAAAGTAATAGTGAAACTAGTGCACACATTTAATGACAGTTATGGCAATGACACAATTTGTTACAAAGCATTCTTCATTCTGAATAATCTAGGAAAACTACATAAAATAAAATTAAATATAAATATGTGATTATATGTTTTATTTTCTCTAAATTGAGTTACTTAATACAATTAATTGGTATCCACGAACTGTTTTAGAACAAATAAAAGAAACACAACCTACATTAACATTACATGGCTCAAAGATTCAATACTTTGGTTTTAGTTAGGTACAAGGTAAAGACCTAGGTATAGAAAAATGATAGCAACATTGAGAAAAAATATCTTTAATCTCTTATTAGGTTCAGGAGAAGATAATTACACAAACTGTAATAATCAGAAAAACTATACTGAGATAACATTTAAATTGAGATTTAACCTGCACATTTTAATAATTAATGAAATTTTAACAATGCAATTATTTCAAATGAAGAAGTTGTCTAGTCATTAGATTATATGGATGTAGGAATGTGAAAAATGCGCTATGCCTTTGATGAAATTTCAACTCTGGATCTCCCGAATAACTCCTTGAGCATGCTTCCATATTACACTACAAATGCATGTGGAAAGGAGGGAGAAAATATTTATATACTGCTCCTTTTGAAGGGTAACTGGGGATTAGGGGACCCAGTTGCGGCCCACTAGTGATGAATTATCATACACCACTATTTCTGTTGCGGAACCACATGTCAAGTCATTAGGTTATATTGATGAAGAAATGTGAAAAATGCAACAGTGCCCTTGCCGAGATTTGAATGCTGGACCTCTCAAATACACGACAAGCATACTTCTAGTTATACCATAAAGGCATGCCGAAAGAAAAGAAAATACCTCATAGGGTTTAATGTAGTTTGAGGAACCAATGATTTATTTTATTCCTTTCTGATCTTCCTGTGTAAGATTTGAAAGTATATTTAGCCATTTGATCATTTAAAAGCGACATAAATATCTTTAGCCATTCGATCATTTAAAAGCTACTTAAATATATTTAGCAATTTGATCATTTAAAAGCTACATACAAGACCTCCCGAATCCTCCTTGAGCATGCTTCCATATTACACCACGGATTCATGTGGAAAAAAGGGAGTTATGGGATCCAGTCGTGGTTTCTTATAAAAAATTTTAAAAATATGATTTCTCACAAAAAATACTTTAATGCAAAATGTAAAAAGCAACAACTCTGAATGAAATGTTTAACTCTTTCTCACATTAAAAAAACACATCCAATTAATTTCTTTATATAATTTTCTAGAATTAATTTTAATGAATGGAATTAATTTTTTTAATTGCATGTATTTAAATTATACTATGGAACAGAATAAATCTGCAAATAAATGGCATAATAAAACTTATTTTTACTTTATATAAATTATACATAAATATCTATTATAAATATTTACAAATTTATGTTAACTTATAATGAAGAATACCACAATTCATAACATTAATTATACTATTGTAAATAATGCCCCTATATTATACACAGATGACTAAACAATATAGTTTATCAAGACATCACTGATGATAATCTTGTGTTAAATAAATGTAAATTTTTTATGAGTTTTTAAGCTCTTTTTTATCACTATTACATACATATACTTAATTTTTGCATTCAGTAATATTTTCAATATGCAAACAGTTAATTTGTGCATGCGTTGAATTTCCAAAAAGTAAATACAAAAATCTAAAAAATTCAAGTCTCAAAATAATAGTAATTTTCATCAATAAACTGAATACCTTGTTGAAATTTGTAAAGTGAAATGCAGAAATTCATGTCTCAAAATAGTTTGCAAAAGGCATTATGCCTAACTTGTAAAAAATTAGCTTTCTATCTGGTTTTAATTATTGAAATCCCCCACCAGATTTAGAAACTCAAAACAATTTCACTTTGTTGGTTCTAATGTACGAGGCGTATTCGGAAACTAAGTACCGTTTTTGGGGAAAAAAAAAAAAAAAATAGTAAAACAATTTTTTCGAATCCAATTTTATTTTTACATGAAAATACATGTCTTAAACTATTTTTCAACATAGTTTCCGCCAATGATCAAACACTTGTCATAGCGGGTGACCAGTTTTTGTATACCATCGTCGAAACTTCCCGCCAGTTTCGATACCACGACTCCACAGCATTTTTCGTGTCATCGTCAGATCCAAAGCGCTTGCCACCAAGCTCGCGCTTCATGTGCAGGAAAAAGTGATAGTCGGACGGTGCCAAGTCCGGGCTGTATGGCGGGTGATCGAACTGCTCCTAATGAAACTGTCGAATTAACGATTGAATGTCACCAGCAGTATGGGGCCCAGCATTGTCACGGAGCAACACAATTTCTTTACTGAGCATTCCTCTTCGTTTGTTTTGAATGGCACGCCTTAGTTTTGTTAAAGTCTCACAATATTGTGCCGCATTAATGGTTTCATCTCTGGGAAGAAATTCAGTAAGCAAAATGCCTTTCCTATCCTAAAAGACAGTGCACATGATTTTTTTGTGATGACATTGTCACTTTGAATTTTTGTTTTTTTTTTGGAGAATGAGTGTGTCTCCACTCCATCGATTGTTGTTTCGATTCTGGTGTGAAATGACACACCCAAGTTTCATCACCTGTCAGAATTTGGTTTAAAAAGTTTTCTCCCTCATCACGGTAACGCATGAGAAATGTCAGGGCACTACCAAGTCGCTTTGTTTTGTGAGCATCAGTGAGCATTTTTGTAACCCATCGGGAACACAGTTTGCGATAATTCAAGCGGTCAGACACAATTTCGAACAAAACAGTAAGTGAAATTTGTGGAAATGCCTTTGAAAGAGTTGTCATTGTGAAGCGTCTGTTCTCATGAATTGCTTCATCAACTTTCCTTACCAAATCATCGGTGACAACAGAAGGCCGACCACTCCGAACCTCGGTGTGGACATTTGTTCGACCTGCATTAAACATTCTTACCCACTTTCTCACCATTCCATCACTTATCGCGTATTCACCGTAAACTTCTGTCACTTGACGATAAATTTCAGACGGTTTAACATTCCTCGCGTTCAAAAATTTAATCGCGGCACGAATCTCACAGTCAGCGGGAGAACTAATTGTCTTAAACATTTTGAATGTGCACAGCAAACTGAAAACACAACACAGAGCAACCAAAATGGCAACAATTGAAAGTCCGTGAACAAGAAAGACTAGTGCACATGCGCGGGACGCCTACCACAGCGCTGCGACAGCACTAGAATGAAACGGTACTTAGTTTCCGAATACGCTACGTATTGCAGGTTTTGTATGAAAAGATACAACTGGAAAACTTGCATTCAAATACTTCTGTGGAAATTACAAAGAAAAGCTACATGTCACTGATTAATAACAAGATTTCTTATTTAAAGGTAACTATTTAATTTGCTGCTAAATTTATTATAGTTTCTATTATAATTCTGGAAGTATAAATTTACTTATTTTACTTTCCTCTAGAGATTTTATTAATAACACATTAAGTTGGTTTTTTCCATTATGATTAATAACAAGATTTCTTATTTAAAAGGTAATTATTTAATTTGCTGCTAAATTTATAATAATTTCTATTATAATTCGAAAGTATATTTTTACTATATATATATAATTCTGGAAGTATACATTTACTTATTTTACTTTTCCCTAAAGATTTTGTTTCTAATACATAAAGTTGGTTTATTCCATTATGGCAAAGCACTTGAGGGCTATCTCCAAAGAAGAGAGTTATCTTTGTGGAGGCTATTAAACTGGATCATGTACATGTTATACACGGAGAAAACCATGAAAACATCCATGCAGCCAACTTGTTCACTTGGAATTGAACTCAGGTCGAACCATCAGCATTCAGTGATTTTACCACTCGGCTGCTGGCAGGCGCTAACACATCAAGAATTTTCATATTTATTGCAGTTACAGTATGTATTCATATCTTAGACTGCTGTTTTTTCCTCTCTCCTGATATTCATAATTTTTTAATTTATATATATTTGATTCATTTATGATTTTTCATACCTTCTCCATTCAAAAAGTAAGTGGCACTTTAAAAGAAAATTTGGTTTCTTATATAACAATTATTTTATAATAATGATATAACCAACAAGTTTCATAAAACATTACACTTGATTTTTTACTTTTGATTCATATACCTCATGTATTTCCTCGATTTTATATTTAGTTACACACTGTGTTTACAAGTCCTTAACTGGCTTTCATTTTTACAACTGCTGGTCTTAGACATATACTTCAAAGTACAAAAATGTTTTAAGTGATGCAGATGTTCATATGTTTGCATTTTTAAATTTCGAAAAATCAATTTTTTAAAAAAACTACAAAATATAACTTTTTATAAGTTCCTTCAGTCCCTAAGTATAGGGGGATATTTATATATATAAGTAAGGGAAATTTTGTACTTTTTATAAAATATGAAAAAAAAATCTTTATGACAAAAAATGACCAAGATATTTGGCATTAAGTATGGAATTATATTTAGGTGTCATACATAAATTGAAAAGCAAAATGCCTGCATGTGTATGTAACAAAAAACATTGGTTTCGAAAAAGGCTTTTGATGTTAAGAGATTAAGTGACAAGCATTTCTTTGGGAGAACTACTGATCTGTATAAATACAAGCAGAATTTATCTTTTTAGACTTAATTTACATATATTTATATATTAGATGTGAAACTTCATTCAACGTATTAAATGTAACAAAGTTATAAATAATAAGTCACAAAACAAATTACAGGATGACATAAGGAGTGAAAATCAACCTTGAATTATCTGAATTTATTTACTAATTGATCCTTCAATGCAAATTGAATATGTTCTCAAAAACTGAAATTTTGAAATTAAATATCTCAGTCCCTTTTTGTGTTTTAATTGCATCACGAGGAATAATTTTTCAAAATAGAAGTATACGGACCGGAGCATATTACAAAAAGTTACATTTCATAATTTTACAAAATTCACTTTAAATTTGAAAGTGTCTAAGCATTAATGTTTAGTATATATCTCCAACTAATGGTTGTGAAAACAGATAAGAAATTTTGTGGAAATGATGTATATGAGTGATGTATGGAAATTTGATTTGACTATTGATAGTCACGTGGGGGAGGGGAAGGGTTACACAGACAAAACAGTGGCATGTACAGCAGAAAATTTTTCCAATCATACACTTTTTTGCTATTACATAATCAATATGTACTTTAAAAATATATACCTGTGCTACTTGCATATTGCACTTGATGAGCCATTTTACTTGCATCATTTTCAACCCTGGAAAATAGTTAAGAAAATGTGAAAATTTAAATTACTGAAATCTGTAAACTTGTTTATTTATAATATTTAATCTATAAATTATAATCTTTAATAAATACTTAAATTTTTTAATTAATTTTCCATATTTCCTTCGCTTTTATTTATTACATCTCTCTCTGACTGACTGCTTCATAGAATTACATTTTAAGATGAATATATTAGAAAATAATCCCAAATTGATAAAAGACACAAATGATAAAAGAAATCCGAAATTTTTCATTGGAGTTTCTAAAATTTTCAAGTGGGTTCTGCTTTGTTCTGTTATCAAGAATACATGTACACAATTAAGACAAAATCTAAACTTTGTTTCACAGGTGTTCCAAATTAAAGATGCGAAATGTCAACAGAGCATTCCTTGGCTGAAGAGAGACAAAAAAAAAAAAAAAAAAAAAAAAAAAAAAAAAAAAAAAAGAGGTTGATGACTACATAGCAGGATATACAGTGTCTCAAAAAAGTGATGGGACACTTGTGCTTTACAAAAAGAAACTGTAATAAAATAAATTAAAAAAACATGTAAAAATTTTTGTGGGTGTGTTTCATACTTAAATTTAATAACAATTATTACATAACATACATTTTTTCAAAATATTAAAATATTAATTTAATAAAAATACAATTGTTTAGAACAGAGCAAAAAATGGCTCACATAAGTGATGGCACACTACGTACTATGCAACAAAAATCGTCTGAAGTAAGCAATAAAAATATCTTTTGGGGTATTTATTTTTACTCAAAAGCAATTGGCAATAATTTATAAAATCGTCTGCAGTATTTCTCTCCAGTTTGTTTTGGAATTTTTGTGTTTTTTAGCTCTGTGCATCTATGAATATTAAACGAAAAGAAACTTTGCCTGAAATTCGAAAATTAGTTATTAATTTGCATACTAAACGTGGAAAATCTATTAGAGAAACAGCTGAAACAGTTAACTTGAGTCCTTCAACAGTTTTCAATATCATTAAACGATATAAAAAGAATCACATGATCCAGGATAAAAGAAGACCTGGCCGACCATCAAAACTATCCAATGGAATAAAGCGAATTATCATTCGAAATATTAAAAAAAATCCAAGAATGAGTGCTCCTAAAATTGCTGCTGATTTACAAGCATTATATGGAGTAATTGTTAATCCTGAGATTATTAGAAAAGTAATTCGATCTGCTGGATATCACGGTAGAGCAGCCAGGAAAAAATTCTTCGTAAGTGAAAAGAATAGAAGAAAACTCAGATTGGCTTTCGCAAAATCCAACATAAATAAGAATTCTGATTACTGGAATGAAGTTATATTTGCTGATGAGAGTAAATTTAATATATTTGGTTCTGACGGTAGAATCTTGGTGTGGAGAAAACCCAGGGAAGAATTTCGCAAACAGAACTTGGTGCCAACAGTAAAACATGGTGGAGGAGGAGTTATGGTATGGAGGTGTATGTCGTCCGCTGGAGTTGGTAATCTTGTTTTTATTGACAGTATAATGGATCAGTACAAGTATATTGACATTTTAAAATTTGAAATCTTCAGCACGAAAATTAAACCTTCATAACAATTTAAAATTCTACCAGGACAATGACCCTAAGCACACTGCTTTGAACGTTAGACTCTGGCTGCTGTCTAACTGTCCTGAAATAATAAAAACACCACCACAATCTCCAGACTTAAATCCCATAGAGAATATTTGGCAAGAATTGGAATCAAGAATTCGCAAACACGCCATTTCTTCAAAACAACAATTAAAATCGGTGCTTCACGAAGAATGGGGTAAAATCTCTCCAGAAATCACAAAAAAATTAGTGGAATCCATCCCAAGAAGATTAAATCATGTTTTAAAAGGAAAAGGAAATCCAACAAAATATTAAAACCTTTTAAAAAGTAAAATTTTTGGATAAATATTTGATGGAAAAGTAAGTGTCCCATCACTTATGTGTGCCATTTTTTGCTCCGTTCTAAACAATTGCATTTTTATTAAATTAATATTTTAATATTTTGAGAAAATGTATGTTATGTAATAATTGTTACTAAATTTAAGTATGAAACACACCCACAAAAAATTTTTATTGTTTTTTAAATTTATTTTACAACAGTTTCCATTTGTAAAGCACAAGTGTCCCATCACTTTTTTGAGACACTGTATGCAGTCTGTAAGTTCTGAGACCTTGAATATCAAAGACAAGTGGATGCAATTGATAGTTTAACATCCACTGTCTCCATAAAATACAAATGGAGACAGTGCATTTCTGTCTACATGCAGGCAAAATATCAGTTTACTAGTTACAAGAAGCTGCACACTGATGACAAGAAACAAATGAAAAATGGCCTTCTTTGCATTGTTATCAATCTGTTCGTTTAAAAATCACATCATGCCCACATAATTAATTTCTGCCTTAAATATTTCCTTGCGTTTTCACAAACTTTACTATATTCTGATTTAGTGGCATATGCCAATAAACCTCTTATCCTCTAAAATCATAAATTCAAAAGGACAACACTTGCAAGAATTCCTTTCCAGATCTTACTATTTCTGCAATTTTTATTTTTATTCCCTCTTCTGCAATAATAATAGTGCATGTTAAATCATAACACTCTAACACCAATAAAAGTTAGTTTCATATTTAATGTGTTTCTTAATTAAAAAAAAACATTATGTTTTTCTGCCCTCTCCTTTTATAATAATCCGCTATTTTCACTTGCTAACTAACAAAGAAACAATTTACAGCACTCCTATTAAGCAGACACTACATAAAATATAACTGAATAAAACAAAATAATAATCCTCTATAATTCTATAATTCATGCATGGTTATTCAATCTACATCAGTGAGATACCAGTTTTAATTTTGAGAGCACTCACTTTTTGAGGACTGATTTCAGTACTGGAAAATTCAGTTTTTCACTGATCTTTTCCTTTTTTTTTCTTTGACTTAACATGACATTTACCCTTAATAAAAGGTTTTTATAAACATATGCAGACTGAAATCAACACACTGAAACAGTTTTCTAAGAAAAAGGAAAGGAAAGAAAGTGGACTTCATAATAAGATCGAGGAAAACAATTATCCACAACGCACATTTATGATTTTTTTCACTTTCTGTTTCTTCATTAATGTGAATTAATAACAAGTGCAGAATGGAATTCTGTATGCTTATTAGCAGACTAGAAACACACAAGACTGAGGTACACCATACACCACTAGAATTAACTGACTGACATTTTTTAATCAAACAGCAGAAAGCGAGTCCCCCCCCCAACGTTGTACCATACATGAATTAATTTCAATTTTTTAGCTCTTTCCTTTTAAATACATAAAATTTATTTATCAGAAATCAGATTTATTATTTATTCAGAATTTTTTTGACGCAGTTTGAATGCTGACGATGACATGTTAGATTAAATTATAGAACTTGTCATATTATCACTAATTCATTTTTTAACTAGATTGAGTATTTTGAATATAGAATTATCACCATACCACTACTTGTAGAATTTTAGATGCTGATTGTCTTAAATGGAACTTCAGAGATATGCAGTGCCATTTTGTCTATTTGTTTACTGAACATTTTTGTCTATTTGTAGTGACTCTTTTTTATTACAGGGCTTGTTAAAAGCTTGTTAAATCCTGACAGTGGGAGACTCACATTTCTCCCTTCATTTTGTGTGTTTGCATATACAAATAACCACTACTCAATACTTTTGTAATTCAGTTGGTTTTGCCGCTGTTGGCAGTTGCCTACCTTATGTACGACATAGGGCTGGCCCTACTGATATAGTCAACTTCTGTGAAGTAAGCTATTGTGTTAGCAAATGTTAGCTAAAGTGGCTATAATGGCATCTATGATGTGACTTGCCAAAGACAAGGGCCAGCATTCGTGAAGTAACTCGACAAATGCTCGCTACAGCTTACAACCAAGATGTGGTTTGCAGAATGTCGCTGCTCAAAAGTTCTCCAATGCTGCCAGCATCAATTAGTTTGTGTATTAGTGTCTCTGACTGATATGCATTTTATTTAATGGACAGAATAAATCACATAATTCAAGTTGCACTAAGTGCTATCAAGAAAGTTTCATACTACATTGAGTAGTCTATCAAAGAAGGGGCTCAAAACTATCAGTAATGCATTTTTTTTTTTTTTTTTTTTCATATGCATAAAATTACATGCTTCCCTTTCTTGAACCAGTTTTGAATATAATAGAGCAATAGCCAAATAAAAAGACTATTAGAAACATTAGAATAAAGAAATACAAGAGATTTTTTATACCGTATATTTCTCTGCTTTCTAAAAGCGTCAAAATTTGCTTTCCATTTCAATGAAAAATTTTCTGCCATTTTCAAAAAGCTTGTTAAATCCTGACAGTGGGAGACTCACATTTCTCCCTTCATTTTGTGTGTTTGCATATACAAATAACCACTACTCAATACTTTTGTTCATTTTCAAGACGGTTTGAAGAAAGCTAAAGTAACTGTAACTGGTGAACATATGAATTAGAAACTGATATCAGAGGCATTTCCAAAAGATAATATCTGAAAATATGATCAAGAGATAATTTTCTGTCCCGCTACAGTCTTAAATAAAAGATTTTGCAGCTGAATAATTCTCAGTTGATCTTTTTACCTTTCAAACAATTTCTCAAAGACGAAATTGTTCTCAAACCAGGCTCATGGGCATTAAATGTGCCTTAAATATCTAAATGGGGAAAGGGGGAAGAGCTTTTCCTCATTCATATTATGCTTAAGATAATTTTTTTTTGATTGATTGATCCATGGAATCAAATCGAGTTATTTGTATTAGTCACAGCAAAGCTGAAGTGTTTCCCTTTCTGGTTCTTGATTCTGCGTTCAGTCTAACCCGATCGGTCCTGCTGGTGGATTTGCCACTATCATATACAGAGATCTATTTGTGAAATATCTATCTTTGAGGATATGCTCTTGAACAATGACTGCAGAATGATTTGGTAGTAGGAAGTTTTTACACTTGTTAATGTTGCAAGACATTTCTCCTAATCCTATAAACAGTGTTTTGTAGACTTTTTTGGGGGGGAATGGACATCTAAAAAAATCCAGGGTTGAAAGTGTTAAATGCAAATATCCAACTCCATAGCCAATATGTGAATTCATTTTCCTTTCTCTAGTTTAGCAAATGTATACAGTTGTTTAATTATTTAAATAGTCTTTATTTATCTAGTTGACAGCTTGATTCATTCTTACATGAAATTAAAGAACTTAAAATACACATGCAAAAATATTTTAAATAAAGCACTTCAAATTGAAACAAGTTTTTACAAACAAAACTCTTCCAATGATATGCTCAATACTGAGCAATAATAAGAACTAAAGATGGTAAAAGTTATCCAGTGGAAAATAAACCAAGCCAGAAATTACTTACATTTTTCTCAGTTGATTAGCAAACATTCTGTTTCTATTGATTGTTTTGTAAAATTGTTTTTATCCATGAAAGATGGTTCACAAATAAATTAGTATACCCATCAAAAGTGCATGTTGCTTGTGTTTTAATCTTTACACTTTTCTCTCCTTTAATTTTTTCCCTCTTGGCAAAACACGGATGATACATGGATAATGACATAAAATTCATAATTGCAAGTGTACAGTAAAAAAATACAACAGATTAAAAAAACAACTTATAAAAGAGAGTATGCATGAATATGGGAAAAATTAAGGTCATAAGAAGAAACTTACCATTTTTGTTGCTCTATACTGTTGCATTCAATGTCCCCAGATATACTTTGATATACTGGTTGTGAATTCATGGGGGGAGGCGGTGGAGGCCTTTGAGAAGAACCTTTAAAAAAATTTTTTTTAAGGCTTCATTTTAAATAATAATTTTTGTATTTATTAAGTTTTATAGAAATCCATTTTTCTGATGTAATAAAATTTAACAATATTCTATTCAATTTCATAGAATTTTAAAAAAATCACAACTTTCAATATGAAAGGCAAGAAAAAGAAATGGCATTAAGTTCTCTTTTGTAATGAACACTAAAGAAGACAGCAACATAGATAACTGCAATCTGGTTTTGTTAAAAAAAAGTACTAGAAAACCTTATTTTACAGACTAATAATACAAGCATTAATAACAGTATATTTGTTATGTTACCTTGCAGGCTACACATTCCTCATGGAGGGAATTTTTTATATGCATTATTCTATTGCTTATGCATATCATGTTTTAAAACTGCCTTGCATCAATACAGAAATGTAAAAATAAACAATAGAAGATATAATCGCACAGTCCATTTTTATGTTGATAATATTATTTCCTGCTTTAAAGTTAAATGATTAGCAGAGTTTAATGACTTAAACAACTTATATTGAAAGAAATGTTTAATAATAAAGTAAACAAATAAATATTAAGCTTTTTTTTTTTGTATATTTGGATACCCTTTAGATCATAATTGCTCTTTATTTCATAAATTACGGTTTCATATTTTTAATTTTATAATTTCTGCATGCCATCTTACCAGATTTAAATTGATGATCTATAATCTGGAAAAATCCCTAATCCGGAATCGCCGAAGTCCCGACGAGTCTGGATCAAAGACTTTAAACTGCAGCCACTAATAGTCTCTACAATGTTTCTTAAGTTGTATGTCAGCCAAGAAGACGAAACAATGTATAACGCTTTTTATATTTAAACCAATGAAAATTAAAAACACACATTAGTTAATAACAATTTTAAATTTATTTGCCCTAAACATAACAAGTTGCTCAGATAATCAAAATCCTGGATAATTACAGTTCTTTCTTAAATGATGTCTAATAATGATGTTTGTTTCTTAAATGATAGTTATTAATTAAGCTTATGACTTTGATCTACCGATAATGATAATAACATATCAATATCACTTATTCCGTGCAGTGAAATATGCAAATACATAAAACGCATCCCAAAAATTCTAGTTTTAAGAAGTTTAAATCTTATTCAAATACAGTCATCTATAAGCAAAATCAATCTCTGTATTATTTTGAGTGAACTTCTCAGTAACTGTTAAGATCAAAAAACTCATTGAAAGACGAAAGTTTTCGCTACAGTAACAAAGAAAATTAGTTGCAGATTTTTAATCTTTGCATATTAACACATTGAAATTTGGATTACATATATGCACATCATGTTGCATATTTACCGTTTAACAAATAAATTTACTTACTGTTTTGGTTGATAGTTTCCAAAGTTCTGACCATGGCCATTGCAAATGCTTCAGCATCATCACGACTGCTAAAGTTAAGGCCATAGACTTGTTTGTTATCCCGCCACTGGTGAAATGTTGGTGTGGCTTGGTTATATTTTAATCCTTTAAGTATGGAAGCATTTATTACAACCTGGAAAAAAAAATATTATTACAACACATATGAAAAAATACTCAACACACAACTAATAATTGAATAACTAGAATCACACAACTAATAATTTGAACAGCAAAATAATTATTAAAAAAATTCTAGAAACAGAGAAGATACATACTTCATGATCTTGCAGCTTCCGTCCTACAACTCGAAATGTATTATTTGACTGATTTTCATAAATATGAACTTTTGACAAACCACTCGAAGACCCACTGGGCACCCATTTCTTGTTAATATCATCATATACCATCACAGATGCCCGAGCAGATGCAATGGACCGTTCACTGGAAAAAATAAAATAGATTTAGATTTTTATAGAATTTAAAAATCATAGAATAAGAACTAATACAAATTGGATGATGTGGAATACAAAATACTGCAATAATACTTCCACTGAAAAAGTGAGAAAAATACATATATGTCTCCACTTTGTGCATTTTTAGCATCACAAAAAATTTACATTAATATTTTTTTCCTTTTACTCAGGGTTGATCAAATGAAATGAAAGGAGATTTTCCCTTTTATGAAAATGTCAAATGAAATGATTAAAATGAAAGACTTTATGAAAAGGAGAAATTTCATTCAGCATTTGTTTTATGCAATAAATAAAGAAATATATGGAACAGCAAATAGGTTTGGAAGAGTTCTACTGGACTATGAAAAACTACAAGACAGCAAAAATAACACACATAAAAAATATACAATTATGTATGTTCTTATACTTTAAAGCTTACATACTAGCTACAGCATAGGCTAAACATCAGTTTTCAACATCGGCAGTTTGACTGACTAATGATTTACAGCAAAGCATGAGAACTGCTAGTAATGAGCAAATGAGCACTAATATTGTAGATAACGTTACCTGATGCATATAAATATAATTCTCTTTCACTGCAGGCTCTGTAACTCCTATTATTATATTATGACAAATTAGTTTATCACACATCCACCACTACAATCCCTTTTACACCTTCTTAGATTGATCATTATGAAAAGTACGTTGTATACGTTGTATATACTCATTTCATTCCTTATTTTACTATTGGTTTTGATATAAAGAGTTATTCAGAATAGTTTGATAAGATTTTTGGAAACATGGGAATGTTAAAAATTGTCCTCCATATAAATAAAAAAATAACTATTTTATGCCATTTTGGCATACAAAATGATTCATATCAATAGCTTTTTTTTGGGGGGGGGTAAGTAGGGAAAAGTAAAGATCTATTACAATCCTGCTACTCAAAGATACGCATATCGCATCTGATTTCATTTCAGGCTCATAAGAGTCAAGACTGTGGTTTGGGTCTTAAAAAGCCCCCAAATCTTCTGATAACTCTTCTTTTAACCATGCTTTTCCCCTACAAAAACACAAAAAGTCAGCACAGGGTTACCTTGAAAGATCTTTATGCCTAAGGTTTCTGATTTCTTAAACTGGGTCTTGGATATATATCATCGTCTCCCTCCCCCGATCATTTCTAACTGCTTTGCATTAAAAAGACTTTCACCATCTTACTTTGCAGCTATTGCACAAGTATTAGAAAAACTTGTTTTCAATTTCAATGAATTTTGGTTCATTCAATATATATATATAAAACTTACAACTGATACAACTATAACGAATATGCAGTTAATGAATAATTTTATTTTTTATAAATAGAAAACTTGCATTATGACATAAATTTACGAAACTACTGCAACAAAAAATTGTTTTCAACTTATGTTAAGTCTTTCAGGCATGATATAATACAGGGTGATTCTAAATTGTTTTTAACAAATCAAGAGGGGTGATAGTACTCATCCATATGAGCAATAATTGCCACAGAACATACGGTCGCATTCCACTCTAAGAGGCAGAAAAGAGGAATATTGGAATTCCAACCTGAACTTAAAACAATGTTGGGAGAGTGAATGAAAGAGACCAAAATGAGCAATCAGTTTAGTGCAAAACTCACAGGGAGTGCACAAAACAAATAAAACTGAAACTTGGCGTTCGAGTGTTAATTCGTGCTCAGACTTTGGTGGCAAACACTCAAATGCACATCTTTGGTTCACAAGGTCTCAACCTCGAAAACGATTGCAACAAGTTAATTATCTAATCAAAGGCTGAATATTATCAACTAACTCCAACTTTTGCTGTATGCTAAAAGTTCATGCTGTGTTCCAGCTGTCAGAACTTTGTCTCCCATAGAAGGGCCTTTGAGTAGAATGAGCGCAGCACAGTAACTCGATAATGACAGGATAGAAGATGGTGAAGGGGGAAAAAACTGCTACCTTGATAGTATCAAACCTACCTTGAGTTGGAGTTGGTTGATAATATTCAGCTCTTGATTAGATAATTAACTTGTTGCAATCATTTGCGAGGCTAAGACCTTGTGAACCAAAGATGTGCATTTGAGTGTTTTCCATCAAAGTCTGAGCTCAAATTAACACTTGGATGCCAAGTTTTCGGTTTTATCCGTTTTGTGCATTCCCTGTGAGTTTTTCACTAACTGTTTGCACAACTTTTGGTCTCATTCATTCGCTCTCCCAACACTGTTGTAAGTTCAGGTTGGAATTCTAATATTCCTCTTTTCTGCCTCTTAGAGTGGAATGCGACCCCATGTTCTATGGTAATTGTTGGTCATCTGGATGGCAAATTAAGAGGGATCTAACACCCCTCTTAATTTGTAAAAGCAATTTAGAATCACCCTGTATATTTTTACATGCACCCCTCCGAATGAAACCTTAGTTGACTTAGAATGTCTTGAAAATGCAGTTTTTTGTGGGTGGGGGAGCAGACTAATTCAGACATGAAAAACAATTTTCTTATCGAATTTTCTCTTTAACGAAGTTCTTACAAAAATTTTAGTTTTCTATATTCTATACTATATATGAACTATATATGAGTCATATCATCAAAGCACTACAGTACTTCAAATTATATTAAAAGCCTATTTTGTTAGATTTACTTCTAAACTTGGAAACATAGACATATGATCAACTATTCAAAAGCTGATTAATTTAAATAAATTTCTAAAAAATAAAAACACCTAATTTATTTATGCATTTAAACTAGTTTTTCTTTATACTGTTTTATTCACCAATTTTAGCTGAAGGTTAATTTCAGTATTCAGTATACTAAACAGATACTGTTTACTATTACATCAAACAAGTGACAATTAGATCCATATTGCTTGGGCCTACAGCCTAATGTTTTTCACATCCCCAAACTCTCCTGCAATTTCTCAAAATACTGCTACCTACCTCATAAAAAGGAAACAAGAAGGTCAGGGGATTAAGCATTTACATTGCTCATAATTTTTCTCCCATTTCACTAAACGCGATGTGCTGCGCGTTCGTGATATTATGGGCTACCAATGTACATGCGCAGAATTATTTGCTTCTGAAAAAGAGAGGCTACTACTTTTGTCCCATAAAATACATTTACAAACTTTTTAAATTCATATTACAGTCAGGAAAATAGTTAGATCTTGCTAATTTTGAATTTTGCTGTTGAAGATAAGCAACTCTTACATTTACAATACAAATATTGTGAAATCTTTTATGAATCACAAATTTAAAATGATGTTTTAAAAATTCAGACAGAAACGTGCTTTTAAGTCTCAATGGAATCGATTAAAATTGTACTGTACTTCTTATTTTGCTCTACATGATATAGCCTAACAAAAAAGAAAGGACATAACAGAATTATTCAGGGCCTCACATTTCCTTCTTATAACCAACTGTCGATAGATATTCGAAAATAAATAACTTCATTCTAAGAGCTATTTCGAATGCGACCTATGACACAGCCACAGGATCCAAGAGAATTTTAGAATAGTCATTCGTGGCGTTCTTCGATTTCCGCATAGTTATTTATTCTTTTTAAACGATCTTAGGGGCAGGGAAATAAATTTTGCAATGATAAAGCGTTATGGCAGCAAATGTATTAACTCTCCGACAAGGAGAAGAGCAATTACAACAACCGGCGACAAGTTGGGAGCACATCGCGAGCCAGAGTATGCCGTGCTTAATAGGATGCTTTTTGTGCTCCTTTGGCATCCATCCGCAGCAAACCCACGAGAGCAGTGACCTTGGACAGTGAGTATCGATCGATGACACACGCTTAAAGGCGGCTTGGTATGATTTAATTTTTTCTTTTGTGGGTTTTTTATTTATTTATTTTTTTTTTTTATTATATATACTACCGAAGAGTAAGCAGGAAAAACCACAAATATGAGTTAATCTGAAATCTTCGACGCAAATGACTGACTGAATCACTCTGGTCAATTTAAAACATGGAAACTAAAAAGGTGAAATTAATTAAAAACAAATATGGAGTAGAAACGTTTGAACTATATATGAAACCAATTAATCCTGTCACTAACTAAAATGTACCCGAATACAAAAGTCTACAAGCAAAAAAAAAAAAAAAAAAAAAAAAAAAAAAAAAAAAAAAAAAAAAAATTTACTGTCACGTATAAATATGCTCCAGTCGTCCACTAAATTAAGAACATTCCAAAATGCTGCTCTTGTTCCAGCTAGAGCTTAAATTGGGCCGGAGCCCTAAATAAGAAAGCTCCGGCACTTCTTTTATGCAAACGAACAACTATTTTAGTAGAAATTTGATATCGAAAAATTTATTTTTAGCAAGAAAATTATATTAAAAATTGCTTATTAAATTTCAATTTATCTCTTTACATTTTATTTAATTTTAATTATTTAATTACTTTAATAAATAATAATAAATTCATTAATTAATTAAATAATTATTAATTAATTTGATACTCACCAACTATTTTAAAATTATTAATGATTTTTTTGTAGTCATTTTATTTATTCGCTCTCGCTTCTCTTTCCTGACGGTCTTCCATAGTGCTCCGGCACTTCTATTTTTAGAAATAAAGCCCTGCTTCCAGCAAATTCAGTCTACTATTTCACTCTCACTTCTTGAGGAAGCATTTAAAACTGACAAAGCGACACTGTAAGTCGAGGGTTTTTGATTAACTGGCCGAACGACCGTGTATTTTAAGATAAATCCAAAGAGTTATTTAATATATTGAACATTTCGTAGTGAAGAACACTAATTGCGACTGCAGCAAGGGGGTGGGGAACCTGCTCAAATAGTAAGTTTGATGTTTGGCGAAGCAACGAAGAATGACTGGCAATCAGTCATACTTCGTTGCTTCACACAGGTAACAAACAATCAATCTTCATTTCTTTGTTGAAAATTCTAAATTATATAAAAAGTACGCATTTTTGTTCGAAAATCGAATTTCACTTTTAAAATAACAACAAAAAGTTT